CTCTCTCTCTCTCTCTCTCTCTCTCTCTCTCTCTCTCTCTCACACACACACACAAACACACACACACACACACACACACACACACACACACACACCGTATTGCATGGAGTTTTTCCCTCAATCTGAGTGGCGTCAGAGTAGAAGGGTTCAGAACCACACACACACACACACACCGTATTGCATGGAGTTTTTCCCTCAATCTGAGTGGCGTCAGAGTAGAAGGGTTCAGAACCTTGACAGTGTGCGTCAAGGTGAAGTGGGGAGGAAGGTGATTATGCCATGATAGTAAAACTCTTGTCATCTTCTTTCTGTTCGAATTCCATTGCGTTTTATCCTACATCCAGATAGCCCACGCGGCTCCAAGTGTTCGGAGCGATCTCATTGGCTGGTGGCATGTGTGTGACGCTGGAGCTGCTTTCTCATTGATCCGTGGCCGCTACGTGACTTGTCGGCCTCTGAATGCGTGTGCCCAGGCCCTCAACCGAATGAGCCCTGGGCTCAACTGTACGACGCAGCTGCTGCTTCTGGAACGAGCCAGGGAAGGCTCACGTTGCTCTGTAACCAACTGGCGTGCTGCAACTGTGTGGTACCCCACATACGAAAAATGGTGAAAATAGGCCTCACATGGATATGCAGGTTCGCCTTCATTTAAGGTGGGCACGAGGCTTGCTGGGGCCCTAAGCCCAGAACGTCGGTGTGCCCGACAGGGGCCTTGCGAGGGATCAATCCTCACAGAGAGACTTCCTTTGAGAAAAAGAAAAAGGCTGCACTTTTGCGATGCATGTGTGAGGTCGAGGGTGAGGTGGTTCCTGGTGCCTGTATTGAAATGGAAGCAGACAAAAGAGGGAGAGCTCTCCTTACCTGGTAGCTGGATGGACCATCTCCAACAAATGCAAGCTCTGCCATGTATGGGCGTGTGCAACCGTTCGGGCATCCCGTCATTCGGATCACCATCGCGTCGGAAGGGTTCCTTAAACCAACCTTATTCAGAACAGTACGCACGCGTTTGAGCGTGTCTGGCATCACCCGCTCTGCTTCCGTCACAGCTAGCGGGCACAAGGGAAGAGCAGGACAGGCCATGGCTGTCAAGTTGAGATCATCCACATCCTGGGGCTCCTGCATGGCATAATTGCAAAGAACAGGGAAAAGAACAAGAAAAAAGTGAAAAAGCAGAAAAGCATCATCATTGTCAGCACCATGACTCTGCTGATATGAGAGAAGAGACCCAACAGACACAACCATCAATTTTTTGGCAAATCAAGACAGATTTTCTCAGTACACATGACGACTGTGTGGATTTGGCAAAACATCTCAAGTGGTTCAACAGCAACAACCACAACCAACAACAACCACCAACCACCCACCACCCACCACCAACCACCAACCACCAACACCAACCACCAACCATCAACCTCCAACACCAACCACCAACCACCCCCACCCCCACCCACCACCCACCACCACAAACACCAATGACGACAACATCCCCACCAACCACCAACATTGTTACGGACTCAGCCAGGGCTCGATCCCTGGTCCGCGGGTTACCACCCGCCAGGCTGCTATTTTATTCTGAGTTCCTGATTTCCGGTTCTGGACTTCTGGCGCCCTCTGCAGTTGGCTCCCGTTATCAAATTCCTCCACTGGCATTTCATCCGGCATTCTGGCACCCAGACGCAGACCTGCGATCCTCAGTTCAGTCCTGAGGCAGGCCGCACCTCGGCCCTCCGGACTGAGCCTGAGTCCTGTACTTAAGTCAGGACTCAAGCACCGTTGGGGCATTCAGTCTTCGGCCTCAGTGCTTGTGCTTCAGTGTGACTTGCCGCAACTTTGTGTTCGGAATCCAAGATTGCGACTTTGCGACTTTGAGACTTTGCCACTTCGTGTCTGCGTCCGTCGTGTCGAGTCGAGTGAGTGTGTGTGTGTGTGCGCTCTCACTCTCTCCCTCACTCTCTCCCCCTCTCTCTCCCTCTCTCTCCCTCTCCCTCGACCTCTCTGCTCTGCCTCAGTCACGTCACAAACATCAACCACCAACCAACCACACCAACCACCAACCACCAACCGCCAACACCCACCACCAACCACGACAACACCAACGACAACATCACCACCACCACCCACCAACCACCAACATCAACCACCAACCACCAACCACCAACACCAACCACCAACACCAACCACCAACCACCAACCACCAACCCCAACCACCGACCATCAACCGCCAACCACAAACCGCCAACACCCACCACCCCCACCCACCACCAACCACGACAACACCAACGACAACAGCACCACCACCAACCACCAACCACCAACATCAACCACCAACACCAACCACCAACCACCACCACCACCACCACCACCACCACCAACAACAACAACAACAACAACAACAACAACAACAACACCGACAACACCAACCACAACGACCGCAACCACCAACCATCAACACCAACCACCAGGCAACCACCACCAACACCACCACCATCACCAACACCACCACCACCACCACCAACAACAACAACAACAACAACAACCACAACGACTGCAACACCAACCACAACCCACCGCAACCACCACAACCACAGCAGCAGCAGCAGCACCACCACCACCAAGGATGATGATGCCAATGATGATGAGATGATGCCAATGATGATGATGCCCACAACAATGACGACGACAAGAACAACGATGATGACGACGACAACAACAACAACAACAACAACAACAATGATGATGATGATGCCGACGACAATGACGACGACAAGAACAACGATGACGATGACGACGATGACGACAACGACAACGACGGCGACAACCACGATGATGACAACAACCATAACCACCACAACCGCCGACGACAAGAACAACGATGACGACGACGACGACAATAACAACAACAACAACAACAACAACAACAACAATGATGATGATGCCAATGATGATGATGCCCACGACAATGACGACGGCAAGAACAACGATGACGACAACGACAACGACAGCGACAACCGTAACGATGATGACAACAACCATAACCACCACAACCGCCACAACCACCACTGCCACCACCACCGCCACCGCAACCACAACCACAACCATAAAAGCCACCACAACGACAACCACAACCACCACTGCAACCACAACTGGGCACAACCACAAAAGCCACCGCAACCACAGCCACAACTGCCATTGCAACCACAGCCACAGCCAACAACCACACAACAACAAACAACAACAAACAACAACAACACAAACAACACAAACAACACAAACAACACAAACAACACCCATCAACACCCAGCAGCACACAACAACGAACAACAACAAACATGAACAAAGAACAACAAACAACAACAAACAACCAACACCACCAACAATAACAACCACCACCAACAATACCAACCACCACCAACGACAACAACCAGCAACAACAATCAGCAACAACAACCAGCAACAACAACCAGCAACAACATCAGACACCAACACCAACCACCACCAACAGCCACCACCACCAACAACAACCACCAACAACAACCACCAACACCAACAACAACCAACATCAACAACCACCAACACCATCACCATCACCATCACCAACCAACACCATCAACAACCACCAACCACCAACCACCAACGACACACCACCAATACCACCAATACCACCAACCACACCACCAACCACACCACCAACCAGTAACCACACACCAACCACCAACCCCACGCACCAACCAACCACCAACCAACAACCACCAATCAACAACGACCACCACCAACAACAACCACCACAACAACCACCGCCACCAGCAACCACCACCACGACCAACCACCACCACAACCACCACCACCACCACAACCACCACCACCACCACCACCAACCACCACCACCAACCACCACCACCAACCACCACCAACAACAACAACAACAATAACAACAACAACAACCACCAACAACAACAACAACGACCACAACCACCACCACCACCACCACCACCGCCACCACCACCAACAACAACAACACCTCCACGACCACCAGTGCCACCACCGCCGCCGCCACCACCACCAACAACAACAACAAGTCGTGCTGATCCAGATGAGGTGTCTCTCGTTTGCTTTTGTGGTCATATTGAACGGTCTGCACTTAGTAAATGAGTACGTATATAGTATTTTGTATTGACTTGCAAATGAACTTCACAAAGGGACTGCCATGGATGGTGTTCAATCTGGCTAAGGGATTTAGATGATTTAAATAAAAATTTAATTCATTTAATGTGCTGATGGGAAAACGGATGTACTGCACTGTTTGTGACCTTAAAATCAACCATCGAATTCTTGTTTTCTGTAAAGAAAAAAGAAACGGAGAAAGGAAGAATGAGTCCGTTGCTCAGTATGAATCGGTTTGTAAGTTGTAACTCTGTGCTACTTTATAGTCCACTGTTCTGTCTGGTTAGATCTGCTTTGACAGTGAGTTCTGTTTGTGCACCAAAGCCGTTTTACTCAAAAGGCACACAAAAAAAAGAAAAAGCAAAAGAAAAAACAACAATAAGAAAAAGATCCAGGGGTCAGACAGGTTAAGAGGACATACGGAAGAATAAGGGATACGACTTGTAAAGGTGGGTAGGACGAGCCAATCTGGTAACTGAGGTCTGGAGTGGTCATAATAAAGGTAAGGGTTTGGCAGGGTTGAGTAGTGACCAATGGGGTATAGGCAATATCTTTGGATAGTGGGAGACCGCGGGCTGGGATATATGAATGACTGGGGAGGAAGGCTGGAGAGGCAACCAGGGGCTCCTCCCTGCGCCCCGCGGTCCACGAGGCCCCACTGCTGTGCGCCTGGGTACTGCCAGCAAGTTTTCCGGCCAGCAGCAGGTCCTCGGGGAAGCGCGGAGACACAGTGGGGCGCCCCAGTGTCTGGCCCCCTTTGCTGGGTGCCTCGGGCCGCAAGGGTATGGCCATGCTGGGTGCCTCGGGCCGCAAGGGTATGGCCATGTCTTTTTCCCTCTCATCTCAGCAGTGTCTTTTCTTGTCAGAACATGCTTGCTGGTGGTGATAAGCAACCGGACTGACGCCCCCCAGAATAGAAGGGGCAAACTTGTTTTTTTTTGGGGGGGGCGGGGAAACAGGAGGAAAAACATAAAAGTAGTAAGAGCAAAGAAAAGAAGAAAACAAAGCCAAACACACACACACACACACACACACACACACACTCACACTCACACACACACACACAAAAAAAAAAAAAAAAAAAAAAAAAGTCCTCTCAATCTCTCAAGCAAACAAGTTTACAAACACGAGATACAAAAAAAGGAGGTGAGGGGAAAGAGAACACAGTTTCTTGTTCTTTCTGTTTTCCTGTTACTTAGTAGTATAATAAGTTCAATAGAAGTTGGACTCTTTCAGGATGATATATTTTCCGTCTCTTTTTGTGCGGGCATTGCCCGCACCGCCTGCAACATGGGCGCCAAGCTAGTTGTTAATAACTTATTATTTATTGTTTGAATAAAGAGGGGAGGAGAAAAGGATGAGGAGATTGGTTCGCGAGAGGAAGGGGAATTACCATTGGTCTTTTCTGGTGTACTTTTTTTTTTTTCTTCTTTCTTTCTTCCTTCTTCTTCTTCTTCTTCTTTCCCTCTCTCTCCTCTCAAGCTCGTTCATTTCTTTTTGCAACTGAACAGCATTGTGCTTTCTCATGAATTCGTATTTCGAAATTGGCCAGGATCGTAACAGAAATATGGAAAAGGAAAATTTATGCTATGGGCTATAGCACCATATTAGGAAGAAGTACACGAATTGTTTTTGAAAAACATGAAAGGCTCCTGCAGGTTGTCAAATGCAGCAACTGGATGAGGTGCTGTAGTTGCCTTTCATGGATAAACTCGACAATTTTTTTTTAATTTTTTTTTGAGACTATAATCACACTAGAACTTTTTTACTTATTTATGAATTCCGTTCGCAGATTTTTTATTTCCCTCTTTCCTTGAATTCAGTGCTGGATTCATTGAATTTCGTTCTCTTTTTTTTTTTTTTTTAATTCAGAATTAGTTGAATGCAGCAGTTTGATGGTGTGCTGTATTTACTGTTGTAAACCACCTGCCGTAGTTTTACTGTGGTAAACATTCTTCTGACATTTTCAACATTCTATCCGTCTATCCATCGGCAAGCTCCCTCTGCCAACCATGAAAGGCACAGAGGACTCAAAGCTTGCCCGCTGCCTCTGCAATCCTGGAGAGCTTGGGGAAAAAAAGAAAGACCATCATGGAACAACAACAGAGGGAAGGAGTGAAAAAAGGGTGTTTCACATATCTGTTTGACGATATATATGGAAAAAGGAAATTTCAGATGTTTAAAGGGTTACAGCCTTCTTTTCACTTGTTTTCTTAGTAAAAGCTTAAAAAGGGGATATCGAAGTGGCGGAAATGTGGAAGGATGCTTCCTGAAAGTCTCACTGAAGCATCCTGGATTGTGGACGGGGAGCAGGGAGAACGGACTTGGAGAACCATTGAGCAGGCGGATGGACCATTAGAACAGACTGTGGGACCAGCCATGAGAATGGAGCAGGAGAACAGACTTGGAGAACGGACAAGGGAGGAAGGACAGGGAGAATGGACAAGGAGACGGACCAAGGACATGGACAAGGAGATTAGACCAGGAGAACGGACTTGGAGAATAGACCACGAGTACCAATGACCAGGAGAACGGAGAAGGGAGGAGGGGACAAGGAGAATGGTGAATGGGATGGACCAAGGAGACGGAGACTGGACGAGGAGAACGGAGAACAGACCAGGAGAACGGACAAGGGGGCAGGGACAAGGAGAGTGGCGAATGAGCTGAACCAAGAAGATGGACAAGGAGACGTGACCAGGTGAACGGATTTGGAGAACAGACCAGGAGAACCGCTGACTAGGAGAACGGAGAGAGAGGAGGGACAAGGAGAATGCAGAATGAGAAACCAAGAAGGACAACGAAACTGGACCAGACTTAGGAAACAGACCAGGAGAATCACTGACCACGAGAACGCAGAAGGAGATGGGCCGAGGAGACTGGACCAGGAGAACGAACCATGAGAAGAGCCATGAGAACGGCCACGAGAACCGACCAGGGGAGTGGACTTGGAGAACAGACCAGGAGAATAGAGAACCTGGAGAACGGACCAGGAGAGCAGATCAGGAGAATGGAGAGGAGAATGAATCAGGAGAGTGGACCAGGAGAGAACAGACCAAGAGAACAGACCTGAAAATGGACAAGAAGGGAAGGCAGGAGACCAGGAAAGGAACTGTCCTCTGGTTTTCTGGATTTCCAGTTAACAGTAGACTGACTGCCAACGATCAGAAAACAGAGCAGAAAGGACAACAAGCTCAGATCCCCTCCCCCCCCCCCCCCCCCCCATCCCCCCACTCCGTAGCAGGATGCTTTCCACTATGCATATGGATCAAGCCAAGGTGTATATGGGATAAGGGTCCAATTAAAGTGGATTGGACCAGATCGGACTAGATTGGGGTCCATGTGGCACTCCTGGCATTCCTAGCTAGACGGACTAGGAACCTGCTGTAGTCTTCCAGGCGGTCCTAGAGAGAGAAGATAGAGAGCCTCAGGAAGGTAAGTTTCAATTCAATCTCTCAAACTACGTTAGTGGGGATGCGGCTGGATTCGATGAACTCCGATCTATTGGCCGCCTGTCAGGGCATGCTGTATATCAGCGGCCTTATCTTCAGCGGGATTTTATTTCATTCGATTTCACTGGGACTGAGTCTCAGGAACTTCAACAAGCAAAGGAATGAGAGGTGTCGTACCACAAGACCAGCCTCGCTGAGCGTTAGTTGGATCTTGCTCTTCCATGATGGCTGGATGTCACAGAGGATGATGTTTTGATTGGCCATAAGCCGAATGGGGATATCAAATTCAGCGATAACATCTCGAAGGGCCTTCTTGGCATCGCCTTTGACACGCCCATTCTCAACATGAACTCCCAGAAACAACAGACCATCGCCCTGCGTACATGCACACAACATAACGGCACATGGCGTTGACAAAAGTAGCCGGCACAAGGCGGCAAATGGAAAACGCAAGATGTCAATCTGAGTGCCCAATCCAGTTCAGATTTCCTGCTTTTCACTGTTAATAACAGTTCCCCTAGCTTCCCACTTTTTCTTTTTTCTACCCTTTAGTCCTTGAAAATGGGTGAGACAACCCTGTTCACCAGAAGATCTGTGGCTTTGTCTCTTCCCCCCCCCCCCCCCCCCCCCTCCTCCCCCCAAATGCACAAGGGCCACGTTAATCTTCTCTGTGCCATTCCAATTTAACGGATGTCATGAAGGACAGCCAGAAGACCACTGTTAACGATGCCCGTTCGAAACAATTTTGGTCATTGATGATGCTCACTGCAAAGGTCTCCTGGGATGGCACAGGGCTGAACCCAATTGCGTGAAAAAAAAAAAAAAAAGACCGAGGGAGACGGGCTCAATGTGAGCACATGCAATGCAGGGGGGGATGGGGGGGGGGGTTCAACTTGAGTGCACGGAAAAAGAAGGAGCTTCAAACAAAAATCAACAAGACAAAGAAAAGGAAGGAAGGTGTTACGATCCTGGTCGATTTCGACGTATACATTCATCAGAAAGTACAATGCCGTCCAATTGCAAAAAGAAATGAATGAACTTGAGAGGAGAGAGAGGGAAAGAAGAAGTAGGAAAGAAGAAGAACATGATGTACTCCAGCATAGACCAAAGATAATGCTCATCTTCTTCGCCAACCAATCTCCTCCTCCTTATCTCCTCCCCTCATATTCAAACACGAAATAACAATAATAATGTTGAATGGCTGAACCAGAATCAATGTCCGAATCCCTCTTCTGCTGCAGGCACAACATGAGGTCCACCATAGCCATCGCCACCCTTCCTCTTCCTCCTAATGTAGGCCGAGGCTATGGCGGAGTACTGAGGGCTCTACCCTCCTGTCCAAAGGACAACCCAAAGCAGCTATGTCGCTGCTCTCCTGTCCCAAGGTCAACACAAGGCAGCTATGCCGCTGCCCATCCAGCCGCCATGCCTGACTCTGTCCCGAGCTTCCTTGATGCGGCACTACCCCAACTGGGGCCTTCCAGATGCAGCGCCTAACAAGGTGATGAAGATGGTGTCCACCATAGCCAGGTAGGTACCTCGCCACTCTCGTCCTTGGTCCTCTTCTCCCTCCTCCTCCTACCAGTAGAGCTCCACCATAGCCAAGGTGGGAGCTCCCGGCTTCTTCCTCCCAGCAGCGCTGCAGTAGTCAGCGCTCCTCCGCCAGCGCTCCAGCAGCGTGTCGCCAAACTTGCACACTGAAGAATGAGGCCGGGCTCTTCCCTCGGGCTCCAGATATACCGGCCTGCTTGCCTCCTGCGTGGTGACTTCCAGGCCGCTCGGCCTCCCAAGCAACCGGTACCTTCTCCCTTTCGGAGGGAAACATCATTGCAGACTCTGATATTGCCCGTACAGGCCCTAGACTCAGACTGGATGGACTGGTACCGGCCTAGACCTAGCCTACCGTTACTGGGATCCTTGGCAGTTTGCTCCACAAGTTCCTCCTTCAGTTTCTTCCGGAGGTCATAGGAGTTTACAAGGCAAGTTATATACTCGGGGTGGCGAGACAATGCATCAACAAGTCGATTATAACAACCCTTTTTGTGTCTTAATTCATGGAACCAGCAAGTCAATGTGGGGGAAAAGGTAATTTGCTTCTTGATCCATTTCAAGGTCTCATGATATGAGAAGACCTTGAAATGTCATCCCAAAAGATAGTGCTTCCAATGGTTCAATGCTTCACGGATGTAGGTGGAAGTGGCTACCTTTTCGCTGGGCATGCTTTTGCTGCAGTATCGAGCGACCGCAAGCCCTCACCATCATCTTGTTGCAGCATTGCGTCAGTCCCATACTGGCTTGCATCAGTAGCCACTACGAATACGAGTTTGGAATCTGCTATGCGGAGCATATGATAACTTACCAAACCCTCTTGCAAGGCTTGAAAAAAGGTCTCACATGTTGCATCGGGGCATGAACTTCTGATAGTATGTTGCAGAACCAAGAAAAGAATGCAATTCGCAGACATTCGCAGGTCAAGGCCACTTGCGTATGACCTCAACCTTGGTTGCCTCAGGCTGAAGGCCTGCAACAGACAATTGGTGCCAAGATAGATGACGCTGTCCCACCCGAACTCATATTTTTTTAAGTTGGGATGGAGCTGCATTTTCTGGAGGTTGGTGAACACTTCCTCAAGGTGCTTCATGTATTTCTCGATCGATTTGCTGAAAATCAGAATGTCATCCAGATACACAACCACAAATCGACCAATCTGTTCGCGGAGGACCTTGTCCATAAGACTTTGGTTGGTGCGTTCGTGAGACCGAAGGGCATTACAATGAATTCGTAAAGCTTATCGCGTATCTTGAACGCAATCTTGTGCTAGTCTGCAGGATCGACTTCAATTTGGTGGTATCCAGACTTAAGGCCGATCTCGGAAACCCACCTGCAGGATCAAGCAAATCATCTATGCATGGCAGTGGGTAATCATTCTTCCTTGTGATGCGGTTTCCACTGCAGTAATCAATACGCATTCGGAGTGTGCCTCCTTTCTTGGGGACAAATAGAACGGGTGCACCGAATTCAGATACACTAGGTTTAATCCATCCCTTGTCGATCATCTCATCGATCTGCTTTCGAAGGCCTCCAACTCGTCGGATCCCATACGGTATATGCAGCCCCTTGGGGGAACAACGCCTTACACCAACTCGATCGTGTGTTTGACCGATCATGTGGGAATTTCACGGGGTTCGGCCACAACTTCCGAAAATCCGTTGAGTAGGCTTTGGATGCTTGCTGGGACCAGCGGGGGTGGGGGATCAGAAAAAGAATCACCTAGATCAGGTTACAATTTTTTGGTGAAGGAGACCAAATCTGAAGTAGACTCATTTGGAATAGAAGTAGGTGGAGAAGAAGAAATACTAGAAGTAAGCACAATAGGCAAGGTAGGATTTGTACTAGCCGCAAAAGTAGAAGGGACATGAGTAGGACGAACAAAAGCAACATACAATTGTTCTCCCTCCTTGTGCTTTCGCCATTTCTTGCAGAACTGCATTGCAGTGAAACAAGTCACTTGGGATTCGCTCTTCTTGTCTAGTAATATTGTGTGTTCATTTCCCAAAGCATCATGCACCACAAAGAGATCAGCCTTCCACTCAGTCCATTTTCATTGGGACCGTAGCCAGCCCAATCCAACAACTGCGTTGAAAGGGTATTTTTCCAGTACGTAGAAGTTGAATGCATGTGTCACTGTTTTCTCTTTGTCAAAGGCGCACATCTTTGACTGCATGCGTAGAGGAGGAAACTTCTTTGTTGCCTACTTGGGTCTTGCAAGGGCCTGCACCTCCGCTTGCTTCATTCCCAAACCCACCTTGCATACCCCATGTGGAGACATGAAGTTAGTTACACGGAGGTAACGATGGTGAATGAGAAGCTTGAAGAAGATTTTCTCCTCTCCCCCTTGAGCACGCCGTTGTTTCATCTCGGCCTAGTGCTCTAGGTGATAGTGGAAGTTTACCATTTCAGACTCCTAAGGCTCGACATAGAGAACATTATATGTGTCAGCCTCATAATCAACGGATGATGGGGCTTCAAGAGAGGTCTGTTGATCTGCGTCAGGTTCAATCTCCCGTACTATAGAAGGTGTTGACGCCATTTCCACGCCTGATTCGGGTTTCCCTGGAGCCTATAACAACTTTGAACTTTATGATTGGGTTTTAGGCAATACAGACAAACTCCCTTCTTGATCCTAGCCTTCCATTCACTTTCGCTGATCTGGAGGTCTAACCGATGTTTGGTTGCAGCATCCTCCGGTTTGGCTGGGATTTTGACTCCTTTGGGAAGTGGGACATAGTTCTTCCCTGCATTTCGGTTTGGTCCCTTCATATTGGCAGACTCTCTAAAGGCATTAAGATTCTCTTCGCCATTGTTAATATCAGATTCATGGGCTGAAGATGAACAGGCTGTATCAGAGTACTGTTCTTGATCATCATCAAGAGTGGGGTCATCTGCATAGGCCTCCTCGCCAGCCTTCAACAGGTCATGCACAATAAAGTAGTTGCTGCCTCTAAACCGATTGTCGCCTATCGGCTTCTTACTGCCTACTGTGAAAACGAGGTCTTGTGCCTCAAGGCTGACTACGTCATGAATGAGGGAGAGTCAGTCCGTATATCCAATGAGATCTTTGCCTAGGCGATGTGTGTAAGCAGTGGGAACCGCACCTTTCATAACATCCATGCACGACTGTGCAGTCATATCCAACCCGGGAGTAGCAAGAAGTCTGCTTCCATACAATTGAAGGTTGTGCATGGTGCCCGTCCACTTGCTACGCTCGAGATTGTCAAGTTTGTTCCTTACTCTGGCAACAACATGTGGATCTTTGTATTGTTTAATCACTATTTCTTCCAGTGTGGCCTTGAGCCATTGCGTCAAATTAAGCTTTGTATACCCAACTTGTATAGCTTGGACTTCTAAAGAGCCCCGTACAGCTGGTTCGACGTTGGTCCCCATGATCAAGGATTGTCTCATCAACTGAGTTCCCAGTACCTCGAAGTAGGCTCTCATGGAGCTGATCCAGGACTCCACATCTTCCTTGCCGTCGTACTTAGACGGTATTTGTACCGCCTTTCTGTCCACGTAGGGACTGCTATAACCGGGACCAACAAATGCAGTGTCTGCACTCGAGGTTGCAACAATTGCAGAAGTCCCTGGGCTGCCACTTGTTGAAGCGGTTCCGGGGTCTGCACCCACTCAGGTCCCGATTAAACCACACTTAGAGACGAAGAGGTAGAGGCATGGAGAGGAGCAAGTACAGATTGGTTAGCAGCATTTGAGGCATAAGGTACAGGAAGAGAATTTGGGCTTTGGGCCTGATGCAAATTTGTCATCTGCTGATCAATGTGCTCCTTGGCCATATCCGCAATTTATGTTTGTAGTTCACTTACCTCGTCAAAAAGTTTAGCGATCTGACCAGGTGACAGTCTATGAGAGCATGCACATATGTGACCAGATCTTTCTTAACCTCAATGTCGGGCAAGGAGGAAATTGGTTTAAAAACAGCCTCGTGGTCCGCACAACAACGATTTTCCGTTTTTCCTCCTCTGACTTCTCTTCTCTCTCCAGTGCCTTAGTGTAGAGGACTTGGAACAATCGTTTGTCCTCTTCGTTGGCTGCACCAGGCCACAAAAGCCTTTACTGCTGCCATTTCAGCAAGTCCCTCAAGATAGGTGCTCTCTCTCTTCCTTTCGTCGACAAGTCTCTACGGGCATCGAAATATGAACTCAAAAAAAGAAACAAACTGAAAAGCTCAAAGAAGAGAAGGTAGAACTCCTAGCCAGAACGACATAACATTTGGACTAGAGAGCAACCAAAAGATAACAGTAATTCAGATGAGAGTTATGATCCAGCATCTCAGCCTGATCAGAGTGAATACAAAATCCCCTCGAGTGCAATCTGATCAGTTTCGTGACCGTACAGCAAATTCAAACTTCGAATAACGACATGCAACAATGAAGGTACGAGTCAAGCTACGGACCGTGCAGTCAAAGTATACAAAACATCTCAGCCAAGATCCCCTCGGCAACGAATGCTCTAACCAAAGAATAAAACTTTGTGTCCCAGACAGAAAGAGAATGATCTAACGTCCAACAGATTTGGGCCTAAGGGGTCCTTCTTGCTTGGGTCTGATCCCCCTGGGTACCCAAAGGTCCCAAGTAGGTTGTGACCAAGTACCAACCCAAAAGAGTCCCACATGGACCTACTTTCTGCCTCTACCGAACTGGAAAACGAATTTCAACTTTCGAAAGAACCTATAGTCTACATCCGTTCAGAGACAAAGAGACGATGCACTGTAGGAAGATCTGGCGTCCAAAGCAAGATACCTCATCTCTTCATCCATCAGGTGAGAAAACAACTTGCATACTCAGATTCACAAATCAAGACCACAGAGGAGTAGGAAAAGAAACCCAGAGTAACCCCAACAAACAATGAATACCATGCACACACATACATGGGCATCCCGTAGGTGCACAACACTTACCTGAGTGGCCTGAGCTTCGAGATGAATACAACTCACCCCCCCCTCATATGGTCCTCTTGACCCATTTAACGCAACCCCTACACTAGTATCCTATCTACGGCGAGGGTCTGACTCCAACACCAAAGTGCAACGCCGGATCCCCCGCCGGTGCTGAAGAACAAAGTAGCAACTTGCAGTCCGTAGATGCAGAATGGCTGCTTTCCTCAAGCTCACCTACTTGAGGGAAACCCTAAAGTCGCCAAGTGTCTCCCTTGAATCAGATTCCAGGTGTGAGTGCCTCTCACCGTCGCCTCTCCCAAATGTGGCATGAAGTCTTCTCGAAGAGTCTCGCCACTCCAATTTTATTCTCACACAACCCAGTTAGGTCAAGTGTCGACCCAACACGACCTAACCAGGTGGGGGCAGCTTCCCTTAACCACGCTGCCCCATGTCCCTCACGACCCAACACGACCTAACCAGGTGGGGGCAGCTTCCCTTAACCACGCTGCCCCATGTCCCTCAACTTACAGCCCTAACCCTAAGTGGTAGCCCTCCACTTAGGTTAGGGTTGGAGCAGCAAAGTCAACTCTCACCAGCAAGTAGAATCCGCTCTGATACCACTGTTATGATCCTGGCCAATTTCGAAGTACACATTCATCAGAAAGTACAATGCTGTCCAATTGCAAAAAGAAATGAATGAACTTGAGAGGAGAGAGAAGGAAAGAAGAAGAAGAAATATCAATTTTTATATAGGTCTAGATGGGATTTCTTTATTCTTTGTGGTGTTGACTACGTTCTTAATACCTATTTGCATGTTAGTAGGTTGGTCTAGTATTCAAAATTACAAGAAAGAGTACATGATAGCTTTTTTAGTTCTGGAAGCTTTCATGATTGCTGTGTTTTGCATGCTAGATCTTCTAGAAGAAGAAGAAAGAAAGAAGAAGAAGATGATGTACACCAGCATAGACCAATGATAATGCTCTTCTTCTTTGCCAACCACTCTCCTCCTCCTTATCTCCTCCTCTCTTATTCAAACAAGAAATAATAACAATAATGTTGAATGGCTGAACCAGAACCAATGTCTGTATCCCTCTTCTACTGCAGGCATCACATGAGGTCCACCATAGCCATGGCCACCCTTCTTCCTCCTCCTCTCACGGCCGAAGCTATGGCAGACTACCAGGACACCGCCCTGCTGTGCAAAGGACAACACAAAGCAGCTATGGCTGCCCTAGCTCAGGCCGACATGCCTGACGCTGCCTCGAAGTGTCTTGGTCCAGCTCTACCCCAACGGGGGCCTTCCAGATGCAGTGCCCACCAAGGTGATTGAGATGGTATCCGCCATAGCCAGGTAAGTACCTCTGGTGCTCCTCCCTCCTAGTCCTCGTCTTCTTCCACCTCCTGCCCTTGCTCCTCCCCAGCAGCGCCGCTCCAAGCTAGCGCTGCTCCAGCCAGTGCTCCAACCAGTGTGTCGTCAAACTTGAACACCGATAATGAGGAGGAGCAGCTTGCAGCTTGCTCCTCCTCGAGATATAGCGGCCTGCTTGCCTCTTGGCGAGTGAGTTCCTAGACCGCGCGGCCTCCAAGCAACCGGTACCTCCTCCCTTCCGAAGGAAAACATCATTACAGACTCTGATATTGCCCGTACAGGCCCTAGACTCAGACTGGTTGGACTGGTACAACTACTGGGCCTCTAAAAATGCCAACTTGTGTCTTCTTCTGCTCGGCCTCGAGTACCCGGCACATCTACCTCTACTTGGTGTGGTGCCGGCCTACCTGCTACTTGAGTGTTTTCCGCCACTGTAAGTGTCGCGGGCCTCTTTCCCCGCCACTCGAGTGTTTTCCCCGCTGCAACCCTCAATGTCACGGCCACAGGTAGGTACCGGCCCTTTGGGCCTTCCGAACAAACAAGTGCCCTTGCGGGCCACACACACTCAAGCTGACAGGCACTCAGACAGGCATGCAGACCTGCAAGCACGCACCCACACAGACTTAGAAAACTCAACAACAAGCGGGAAACTCAGTAAAGCATACATTCCAGGAGCAAAACTCAGAAATCAGCTGTGTGTCTCAGCCCGTGTTTGGCAGGTCATTACACATGCCATGATTACCTTGTCCTTTACCAGGGTTTGAACTCGTGACGTTCATCAGCATACAGGTTAGAGGGTCGTGGCCACAGTGTGCCAACAGACAGACTAACAGCCAGGGCCTGTTACACATGCATACTACCAGTTATTCCCCACAGTTTTCTCCCTTTTGTCTGCATGCACGCTTCTGTTGCCATTTGAACGAGGGAAACTTGGCAGCAGTCTTCTCCGTCCCTCCGTGCCTGTGCCGTAAGCCGTTGACCTGACTGCTCCTCCACCTCTCTTTTCTTTTTATTCTTTTTTTCTTCAAGAGGGGTATGAACGCAGGTCTTCTCTGCTCCACTATACCTGCTGTGTGCTGTATAAGCTTCTACCCTGAGTGCCTTCTTCTGCTTCTCTATCCCTCTTTTTTTTTTTTTTTTGGCTGCGTCTCTAACCCTATTTTATGACAAACGAGTCTTCCTGTCTTCTCCTCCATCCCCACTTGGTGTGTGCTGTAAGTTTCTGTTTTTTTGGCTCCTCCATGGCACTGACCCGTTGCCCTGCATGGAAGTTGCTGTGCATGAGAGCTGACCGTTCTCCTTCTGACTCTCAATCCCCTCTCCTCCTTCACCCTAGCCTGTAATTCTGTTGTTTTCGCTGTCAAGTTCCTGCATTTTCTTCTCCTCGATGCTCAAGCCCACGTCTATGTTTATTTCCCTTTTTCGCAGAAGAAGGGGAACTCCTAAAAGTCACATGTGTGTTCACCCACAGCTATATGTGTGGTACCGATCAGCCACAAGGGCACGGTGGCCCACCATTTCTGTTGTATTGTGAGTTTCTGCATCTCCCGAACAGATGCGTTGGAACTTGGAATGGTATCACAAGGGCCCGATGGACCATGCTCAGGTGAGTGTACACATCGTTTACTCTCTGAGGGCAATGCTGAGTGCAATGTTTTTCTTTCCTTTTTTTTTTGTGGTCTGCTGGACCCCAGATCATATACTGAACTGATCAGAACAGATACTACACTTGATCTATTTTTTGCCAAAACCTTGAGAAAGGTATAATCATATAATGTGTGTTTCATTGTTTTCATATATAGTTCATTCATACGCCCACTCTTCATGTTCTTCTCTTTCTGCTGCTCTACGCCGGTGGCGCTGCAAAGATTGCTACAGAACTCAACTACACTGGTGATGCTGCAGGTGGTGCTGTGAGCTTTCAGGCATGAGAGGCGACAATCATTTTTGCTAATCTGCAACCCTCAGTTAGATGAAACTATCACTCACAAGACTCATACTTGATTACTTCTTCACCCTGCAGTGCTACTACCCCCCTCCCTCTCTCATCCCCCCCAATTCTCCCCTCCCCAACAGGCAAATCCCAATTACTCTCCCTGCATTACTACCCTCACCCTGCACTGCTACTACGCTCCTTCATCTCTCCTTGTCCCTGCCCGCCCCCTCCCCCCGCCTCTCCTGTCTTCCGAAGGGAAAATCAAACAGAAACTTGGTTATTTCTTAGCTCTGCAGAGATAGCGTCCTCCTCTCCTCTTCCCCTGGGCCCCCTCTCCCCTCCTCTCTTGTCTCCTTTCGGTCCTAAGAGATAGCAAGAGTGAAAGAATAATTTCCCAAACGGTTCAAAAGAGTGATGGAACGCAATTCTCACCTGTTCGTGCCATCCTAGGTAATGCCTGAATTCCCACGGAGGGAGCTCCTTGAATGGCTCCAGGGGCTTTCCGAAGTATTGCTCCACAACTGTTCTGAACTTATCAATTCCCCACTCATTGACGAGGTACTTCATCCTCGCTTGTCGTCGATCATCCCGACGGCCATAGTCACGCTGTGTAGCTACTATGGCCTTCACTGCATAAAGAACATCGTCCTTGGCAACAAAACCCAGTGGTTGTGCCAGAAGCGGAAATGTTGCGCTGTTACGATGAGTTCTGCCCATCCCACCTCCAACCTGGTTCACGGAACCGTCACCAAAAAGTTCACGTACACACACAAATGAAGTCCAAGAAAACTCTGTCAAACTAGTGCTTTTCTTTGGGAGGGGGGCCGGGGGGGGGGCAGGGACACACTGCACACCCCCTCCCCCCAATCAAACAGAAAGACGATTGGGGGGAGGGGGTGTGCACTGTACGCCCCCTCCCCCCCCCTCCCCCTAATTCACGTACACACACAAATGAAGTCCACACTGCACACCACACACCACACACACACGCACATGCACACACTTCGCACACACACATACGTGCGCACACTCGCACACAGACACACACACACACACACAAATACATCCCACAAAGAGCAAACAATCTAGACAGGCAAGCGGGTAGACGGATGGACGGGACCGAGCAGTATTGACGGAGGAACAGACACACGGATGGATGGACAGACAGACGAGCATAGACAGGCAGACAGACAGACCAACAGAAATGCAGACAAAGAGACAGACAGGCAGGTAGATGCTGTTCTGGGGTCTGAACACGGGAGAGAGCAAGGAATGTGCAGTCGGCAGCAAACTTGGGCCTCACTCCACTACTCACCACATGCACAAAAAACAAAAATATGGCAGTGTATCTTATGTTCTAGCGGAACATTCATTCTCATTTTGGCGTGCAGCGAGGCCCTTTGAGCCCCCCCCTTTCTATGAGTTCAAACTTAAAAGCTATGAGCATCTCGGTAACAAGGAAACAATCAAACGGCCAAACCAATCAGACAAACAAAAAAAAGCAAACAAACAATCAAACAATGAAACAAAATCAAACAATCAAATCAAGCAGAGTAGCAGACAAACAAGAAAGCAAATAAAGACACGAACAGATTATGAATAACTTCCTACGGGCAGATATACCTCTCAGGGATCACTTACGAAGATATCGAAGCCCTGCAGTTGGCCGTTCTCGTCCGTGATTGTGACCAGGCCAATGTCGTTTGTGAGGATGTCGACGGAATTGTCCCCTGGGGCAGTGACAGCAATCTTGAATTTCCGTGGCAGAAATTGTGTTCCATAAATCGGTTCCAGAGAGCCTTCGAAGTTGGTGCCATGGGAGTTGTCCGCCCGAGCGATTTTCACATCTTCTGTCTCTCTCGCCATCTCCGCTGACATGAACTTCTCGTCATCTACCCAAACCTCATAGTAGGATCCTGCCTGGGGTGCTAGCAACGTTGCAATCTTCTCCGCATATTCCTGAGCGTACAGGTACGCTGGGTCATTCTTGAACGGTGCCGGCGGGGCCAGCGTGTTTCTATTAAGGTCGCCACAAGTGCCAATTGTCGATCCAAAGTTGCGGATGATTGTGGACAACACCGTCTTCAAATCTTTCTTCAAGATGCCGTGCAGCTGGAACGTCTGGCGTGTCGTTAATCGCAGTGTCCCTATGCCGAACTCATCCGCAAGTTTGTCCATTAGCAAGTAAACAGAATTGGTCACTTTGCCCGCGGGCTGTTTTGTTCGAATCATGAATTGATAAGGCTTTTCGCCACCGAAGGTGCGCTCCTCTCTGTTGTCTTGAAGATATGTGCCATGGAATTTGATGATCTGCGCAGCAGCATCGTTGATGCCCTTCGCTTCCGTCTGCATCTCTTCAATCAATGGATGACGAAGAAAACCACTGTTCTCCTTGTAGATCTCGACCTTGTTCCGCTTCGCAGGGCCCGTGGTCGGAGGAGTTTTTGGCTATTCATAGGGAGAAAACATGTACACGAGTGTGAATATGTTGCCTACGCCCGCATTAAAAAAAAAAGTCAAAGTACTCACACGTGCTCAAATGGACATATAGAGCACAACACATTCAACATGTACTCAACAGAATCAACACAGGCTTAACGTTCATGCTCATTTCTCAAACAATTTTTTTTAATAAATGGTTAAGAATAATACATTCGTGTTTTTTGTTTTCTTTTTTCAGTTGCGCCAGCCCCCTCCGACTTGGATCCATACCTTGCTACACACACACAAAAGCCCAACCAACAGCAGCCCAACCAACAGCTACTTTCACATGGTAAAATACTAAAATAGCGTACATGTATCAGTTACGGATTGCAAAACTCTACGTTCATGTGCATTTCGTAAACTAAAACAATATGTTCTAATATAGTTAAGAATAATACATTCTTCTTTTTCCTTTTCAAATTGGGGGGGAGGAGGGAGGGGGGCATTTGAAGTTGCGGGGGGGAGGGGGGGCACGCCCCCCCCGTCAACTGTGGTTCCATACCTTGCTTCACCACACACAAAACCCAACCTACAACTACTTTCACATGACTTATACATTTTTTTTTTTTTTCTTCAAGTTGTCGGGGGGCACGCTGAGCACCTCGATGGAACGCGAGAACCTCTTCCCCCCCCTTTCGGACTTGGATCACACACAAAAACCAACCTGAAATCACACTACGATTGTTCAACTTGTCATGTATGCAAACAGCGAAACAGCAAATTGGCGACAGGCGCCCACTCAGTACTCAAGATATCGTATCCACATAAGAGTTCTCTTCAAACTGGCTATGGCGACTGAGCGCCCAAATCCCCACTCAGTACTCAAGATATCGTATCCACATAAGAGTTCTCTTCAAACTGGCTATGGCGACTGAGCGCCCACACA